CATGGCTGGAGGAAAGCGGTTTGGCTTCGTCCTCCAGCCGAGCTTCGGGGGACGACGACGACGACGAAAGGAGGTCCCGCCCGATGAGCCCTACACAAAGGAAAACCCCTGCAAGGAGAAGAAAATGGGCCAAGGTCCCGAGAGGTTAGGGTTTTGGCATCGAGAAGACCCCTTCAACCGCAAGCATCGACGCAAAGCAAGAGGGCCTCGTGAGATCCCCTTCAAGCCAACTTCGCTCGACTCTTAGATCGGTGACGAGTCTTCATGCTGCTCTACTCCAAAACTTTCCAATGATAGAGTATGTCAGGTCCGAGGAGATGATGGCCAAGGACGAGAGTGAGTCCCAGGAAAATTCGGCGGCCTCCGAAGAGTCGCAAGATTTTATTTGGGAGTCGAACGAATGAACAAATGACAGATCTCGCTCATGTTCAGTCAAGCAGCAGCTGTCAGCAACATTCGAGGCCTTTGTCCAGTGACCTGTCATGCACGGCATTGCCTGCGCGGCAGACACCTCCTGTGTGGTGCGCAGGACCGATTCGCACATGCACCTGTGTTGCTGGGCAAACGTGTTCACGTTCATCTTAAGACAATACTGAACTTGCAGTATTACCTTCCAGTCAGGCAATGCGCTTGTCGACTCGCAGGCAAAGGTGGTCGTATTCCAGGTTAAGACGACGCCAAACTTGCAAATTGACCTTTCAGTCAGGCAGTGCCCTCGTCGACGCCGTCCACAAGCGCGTGGGACTGCAGAACTTCACTTCGTGCTCTACTCCAAAACTTTCAAATGAAAGAGTAAGTCAGGTCCCAGGAGATGATGGCCAAGGACGAGAGTGAGTCCCAGGAGAAGTCGGCGGCCTCCGAAGAGTCGCAAGATTTTATGGGGGAGTCGAACGAATGAACAAATGACAGATCTCGCTCATGTTCAGTCAAGCAGCAGCTGTCAGCAACATTCGAGGCCTTTGTCCCGGGACCTGTCATGCATGGCATTGCCTGCGCGGCAGACACCTCCTGTGTGGCGTGCAGGACCAAGTCGCATCTGTACCTGTGTTGCTGGGCAAATGTGTTCGCATTCAGCTTAAGACAATGCTGAACTTGCAGTTTTACCTTCCAGTCAGGCAATTCGGTCGTCGACTTGCAGGCAAAGGTGGTCGTGTTCCAGGTTAAGACGTCGCCAAACTTGCAGTATTACCTTTCAGTCAGGCAGCGCCCTTGTCGACACCTTCCACAAGCGCGCGGGACTGCAGAACCTCCTCGAAGACAGAGTCCTGCGCCTTAGTCTGTGAAATAATCTCTCAAACAAGTTCATATGTATGAGAGAACGAACTTCGTAAGTCCATCCAACTTTTGAAAGCCAGGGAGAGCCCGGGTTCACCTCGGCAAGAAGCTTGGCGTGCCGCCGAGCTGGTGTCGCTGACAGGCTGCGAAGCACGGCGACCGTGAAAGTCAAGCCGGAGTGGCGTCCGCCGAGGACCTTCAGCTGCGTTTGCGCTCAGCAGATGAGGATGGTTGTGTGACATAGCAGTGTCAAGAGATCACAAAAACCGCGTCTGAGATTGGCGTTACCTATATGGTGGTAGTGTTGTAAGCTTCGGCAGGAAATGCGGGCCCAAGAAGATGCCTCATTTGAGAAAACTGGTTCTGAGCAGGCCGGCGCAAGCTTAAACGCGGCACATCCAAAGTTGGTGCTTCTCGCCATCTCGCAGGCAGCAGCAGCTTTTGGAGAAAATCATGTTCGGCCTGGCTCAGAGTCAGAAAAGATCGGCCAAGACAGCCGCCGTGCCGATGTCCCTGTTGCAAGCAGGCCACACACGTGTACCTGTGGTCTAGAGAAGCGCAATTGTGGTAAAGAAACATAGCGTCCGGACTACAGGCGCGTAGCTGCCATAGTTTTGCTTCGTGATCTTCCCTTGACTCCAAAGGCGAACCGCGGTTTCGGGACGTTTGCCTGGTGGACGCTTTGCGGGCCGTGGGGGTCAAGGTCCCTTACGCAGGCCATGGCCCATTTTTCGTCTTGAAAGATGGCAACCGCATGGTAGCACCCCTGGGGTGACTTGGCATGAACAAGAAAGAAATCAACAGTAAGTCATCAATTGCTATTGCGCAGTTTGTCATGAGAGCCACCGGAAGGTACTCCATTCGTCCTGCGCAAGGCTTTGAGGGGCCTGGGCGATACATTCTTTATCGGCAGAATCATTTCACTGGGCTCACAATACACGAAGACGACTCTTGCGCAATTTCCACGTCCCACCGGCCGTGTGACAATCTCTCGACGCAGTTGTGGATGCTGGAAAACACATTCGAGGCAGTGTTCAAGGTGATTTCTACAGTTGGAGTTTGCTCTCCATGTGCGCCGACAGGTTCGGAAAAAGACTTGCAAGGCGGCAGCGATCGACGTCGGCAGAAATCTGAACAAGATGCCGGAGAATGTGAAGAGAACAGAGGACGGCAAGCAGTGTGCTTGACAGGTGCTTTACGAGCCGAAGTGTTCATGACTGCATTTCAACGGAAGCGACGCACCCAGTCCGGACTGGAGGCTTGCGAGCGCAAAGCTGCTCGCTTAGCCCGCATGGATGGACCTTGGCCTCGACTGATCCAGCCCAGTTCAGCAACCTTTCCGATCTCGCCGATGCAGTTTGACCCGGAGACTGCCCCCAATGTGGAGGTGCTGAAGATGATCCACCCCCATGCAAGAGACTTCAGAATCGCATTTCGATCTTCTGATCACACATACTTCGTAGACGGCCAGCGAACCCTGGGCTCGGTCACTGGGATGATCCATGCTTTCTGCGCGCCGTTTGAAGCGGACAATGTGATCGCCAGGATGATGAGCGGCAGGAACTGGCCTCGGGCTGGGTACCTGAAACCGGAAGTCTCCTTTACATGGATGAGCAGGCTTGGCATTTTCTGTCCCGAAGTTTTGGATCTGTATTCTGGCAGCCCAAGAGATGATGAGCGTATCAGCCAGCTTCTAAGGGATCTTTCCTCAACTCAAGACATTGCAGCTGAGCTTGACGAACTTACCTTGTCTCCTGATGACATCAAAGCAATGTGGGAGGCTCGTGGCCGAGAGGCAGCGCACTATGGCACCTACATGCATTACCTTTTCGAAGCGCTCATCAATGGCCATTCTGTGCCACAGGTTTCGCCTGAAGTCAGAATGTTGCGCTCGTTTCTGTCCAAGTGTGCAAAAGATCTCACAGCTTGGCGAACTGAGTGGACTATTTTTGGAGACGAAGAACGACTTGCTGGATCTATCGACTTTTGCGCTCGTCTTCCCAACGGGGAGATGGTACTGGTTGACTGGAAACGCACTGCTGGTCTACCCGGCAAGTTCAATTCAGCCTACCATATGCGTTCTCCACTATGTCACCTTGCCGACTGCACAGGAGTTCACTACAGACTGCAGCTGAATGTCTATCGACATCTACTAGAAAAACATTACGACGTCAGAGTGGCTCGAATGTTGGTTGTGTGTTGTCATCCTGAGCACTATCCAACAGCTTTCGTCGACGAGGTTCCAAGGCTTGAGAAAGAAACAGAAGATATGCTGGCGGCTTGGTGCGATGCAAGGGGAGGCTCGACAGATTACTGCGGCGGCAAAGAGGCTTCTGAATCTGCAGCTGACATAGTTGAGATTTGGCGTGAGATCCAGTTTGAAACACCGGACGTCTCAACTTTCCAGGGCCAAGCTCGGCAGGACCTCGCGCAGCCGCAGCCCGTGCATGCTGTTTACTTGCCCACAGAAGATGACCTCGACTCGTATTCTTCCGATGATGGCATTTGGGACTTGAGACATGATTGGTACTCCCAAGCCAGGCATCCACGCGCACCGCTGGATGTCGCTGGAGGGTCCTTTCCAGCAGAGCTTCTACACAGCCTCCCCAGCTTCTTTTTTTCGTTCGAATACCTCCATGCTTTAGCCAGTACTTCAAAGGCCATGCGGGATTCAGTTCGCAGTGGCAAGCATTGGCGTGGGCGAGTTGTCTCGCTGAACACTGAAGAGTTTCAGGATACCGGCAGAGTGCGTTGGATGCGCGAGGTGTACCTGGCTGCGCAGGCGGTTGTCGTAAGCGTCAAACAGCTGGCAATGATGCAGATCTTTCCAAAAAATGTCCTTTTAGATTGGAGTGCAGTCCCGTTCAGCAGCGGACCTGTGACGGGGTTCGAGTCTTCCGACCCCTTGGTTGGCGCTGCCAGTTTTGAATTGCGGCTGCCTGCAACCGCAGTGGGCATGTATATCGGAGTGCGTGACTGGTCGAGTCTGCGCGACTGCAGGGAGGCTGCGTGCCGTCTCGACAATCTTCTCCGTAGCAACTCCGTTGTTTCCTGCAGTTTCCACGGCTCGCCTCCTCAGCCAAGCGTGGTAAGTGGCCGGCCTTGTCTTCGCGCCAATCGTTCTCATCGATTCGATGTCCGATGGAGCGAACATGTCTTTGAGCTCTCGATTGACGAAGCGTGTGTGTTGGCTTTAAGGACTCGAGCAAACGCTTTAGATGGCCCTGACCCACTGGCAAAGCTTTCCCTGCGCATCTGGATGCGATCTCGTAGCGTGGAGGAACAAGTGCTGTTGCAACCTCTTCCGTCGCCAGTCTGCCACCGCTCAAGGCTGCTTGCCTCCAAAAGATGCGTTTTAATCTTTTGTGTTGTAGTTTTCAGATTTGCATCAGTTGTGAGTCGGACACCGTTCTTTGGGTCGCAGGATCACTTGCGTGCTCTGTGGATTCCACGATGTGCTCTCAAGTCCAAGATGGGTCGTCTGCCCATTGTGCTCGACCTGGATGTGCGACCGTCACGCCCGAAGATCTCCGAGAAGGCTTTGTCTTCGTTGCCCGAACCAGTTCATGGACTACGTCGGCGGCTCCGAAATCTTGGAAGGCGCAGGCTTGGATTCTGATGAATTTCACAGCACTCGGGAGAACACAGATGCCCGGGGCAGACAATCGCATGGTGGCGCCCGAAGGTGGGCGCGCCGGTGCGCTTCACCGAGAGCTCCTGTCCAGGTTCCTGCGAACTTTCTACATGGACTGACATTTTACTGCTCAGACTTCAACTTCATTCGCGCACTTGCCGCCTGCAGTCGGGAGACCAGTGAAGCAATGGGCAATGAAGAATACTGGGTTGGAAAGCACATATTTCTCAATGTGCCGGAGCTTGCTCGCAGTGACCGAACACTGCTGGCAGCAGCCAATCTTTTCAGGCAGGCTTTATCCATTAGCTTTGACATTCCGCAGCTGCCGCTTCTGCACCAGATACCTCCTCGGGCGGTGGTGTCTTGGCAATGTCTTCCTCTCCATCTTCCAGGGAGAAATGTGAGTGGCTGGGTGTCAGGTCATCCACTTTTCGGAGCTGCCCGTTTCTCTTTGACTTTGGCGCCGAACACCAGAAGTGTTTTTGTCGGTGCAAAAACTCACGGCAGCAATCGACGCTCATACGTGCTTCTGGAGAATCCATACACTCATGCTTGCAGAGTCAGCCTCGGAATAACGGGCGCCACGCCCGTCGCAGGGCCAACAGGCCCTGTGCTTGAAGCGATCGCGGCAGCCAATTCTCCGAATGAGGTTGTCTTGAAGTGGGACAATCAGTCCATTGAGCTGATGCTCAATGGACGCAGACTTGGTGGGGGGCGCCTGGCTCGTGAAGAACCTCTAGCTCCTCCAGCATTCTCTACATTGTTTGTGTGGGTTATTTCGAGAGATGGCTCGAGCACGCAGCCAGTCCTGAATCCACTGCTGACACCTGTGCGACGAAAAGACACCTCTATCAGGCCAAACGTTTGTCTTTATATATACAGTTTGTATCCTGGCGAAGGATTGTTGTCCTGTGTGTGCTATCAGGCTTATTCGCTTTAACTTCAATGTGTCAGTGTGTCTTGTTGGCGTAATCCGACTAGATTGTGCAAGGCTTGAAGTTCAGTGTGTTTTCTCCCATGCCAGGTGTTCTCTATGCAGCAAGGAGCAGGCCATTGAGGTTCATATGTGGGCGGTCTGTCCCGCGTGTCGACATTGGTTCTGTGCGTCTCACATGCAGAGCATGCCACTGCGGTCCTGTGATGTTTGTGGGCGCGTGAATTACAAGGATTTTGTCGGCGGGTCCGCTCTAGCGGAGGTTACTGGTGCTCTGGCACAATGCTACAAGCACGCAGGAGAGCTCTGGCAAGAACTTCAGACCGGTCGAGCCCATGGCACTGGCAGCAAGTTCCGTGCGACAGTGGTCGGTATCCTACAGAAGCACGTCCATACCCTCCTGGAGATTCCTGCCCTTTTGCAACTACTGCCAGATCCTCATGAACGCCAAGTCATGAGCAAACGGAGATGGGAACGCGTGCTCTACAGAGCACGAGTCATTCTAGATTTTTTTCAGCAGCACAGGCACAAAATGCTTTTCCGGTACCTCCACGCAGAAGCCGAGAAGCTGCCGCTTGCAAAGCAGAGCTTCCTGATTGAATTGGCCGATCCAGAAGACGGCAGTGTTCTTCCAGATCTCTGGCGCAGCGAAGCCGGAACCGCTGCTGTGACGCTTCAATGTTACTTGGTTCAAGAAGAAAAGCAGGGCTCTAAAGAATCGCACCAAGTCGACGAAGGACCCGTGCGACTTTCTTCCATTGAAGAAAAGCGACCTGCGTTGCATGTGCTGGGCGGCGCCAGCCAGGCTTTGGTTGACTGCCCAGAAGTTTCTGAGCGTGTGGCAGAAGATTGCAATGGAGGTTCTACAGCACTGCGTGATTCCTGTCCGGAGATCTATGCTCCTTGTGAGCAACCAAAAACAATTTGGGTCTTTCAGATGCCAGGGATACCATCCACTCGGATGCAGGCGCAGCCGGGCCAAATTCCGATCGTGCGTGTTGGTAGCGACCGCAACTTCTGGGCCTCCGGCTCCGAAGTACTTCCGGTCGTCAACTACGGTCTGGATATAGCGTCACTGCTGTTTATGGTCGTGCCTCCACTGCCGCTTTGCAATGCCGCGACACCAAATCCGCGTTATTTTCTTCTGAGGATTGGAGCACGTCCGCTCTCAAGAGCTATGGTTATTCGTTTCAAAGATACGCCGACCTGGTCTGAACTTTGGGCATTCCTAGCACGCCGGGCTTGGTTTCATCCCAACGAAAACCGCTTTTATGGACTAGAGTTCGGAGATGTTTTGCTTACCGAGCACGACAGCCTTGCTTGGCTTCCTCCGCAAACATTGCTTCAGCTCGTCATGTTTCCAAATTACTCGCCCTCAAGTCAAGTTCCGACTACGAGCACAGAACAAAATATATGTGCTCTTTGCAAGAAACCGCTAGGCCAGGTCCAGGGTCGATGCTACATCCGCGCCGCACGAGCTGGACGCTTGGGCTCTTTGCACAAAGCACACTGCGCACTAGTATTGCACCATGTGCGCGTTCGTTCCGATGAAAGCAACCAGCTGGCCATGGCTGCAATTCCAATGTGCATTCACCCGGTCCTGATTCGAGCGAACTTGGGAGTCTGGTACGCAGATGGTCATGAGTGGCTTCCCTTCGAGTTGCTCCCTGGCACGGCTACAGGACATCCGATCTGGCAGCGATCATCGCTTCTGAGTCAAGGGTTTTCAGCTCGTCAAGGCTTGCCAGGCGACTACCCGAGCTCAGATGAGGAGCTTCGCGAGATCCTGCACCGCTGCGCTGACAGGGGCTGTCTTCAGCGCTATGGACGAGGCGCAAAGCCAAGCATCCTTCGACCTTCCAGACTATGGGGAAGCGCCGGACGAGGACATAGAAGTCCCTCGCGATCTGCTCCTGGCTCCTGAGACGAACGAGGCCGTGCTCCGCGACGAAGCCGCTCGGCAAGCGCCCGAGCAACAGCTCTCCCAGGAGCCGACGTGCAGAGACTTGTCGCCGCATGATGTAGTGGGGAATGATTTCAATAGCGAAGTGCTGGCCCGGGCGCGGCAGCGTCGTCGCAAAGAGGGCGCTCCAACAAGCATACCAGAATTCAAGGAGTCCTTCCGTCAGCTACGAACCATTGCACAAAGATCGCTGAGAACCGTGGCACCTTTGCAGAATGTCACAGAGGCCACGATTCCACAGAAGATACGTACTCTTCGCGCGCAGGCTACACAACGTTTTCCACATCTGCAAGAGGATCTGCTGCGACTGTGCATTGGCGCCCTTGCAGTTTACCGGCTGCGCCTTACCGATGTGCATGTGAGAGAGTTGGTGATGCTTCTGTGGATAGTCGAAGGCGACACACACACATGCGCTGCCACTCAGGAAATCTGTATTTTTTCCACCACGGCGCCTTCACGCTGCATCGGGGCGTTCCGCCAGAAGGGACGCTCGCTCGTTGCAAGAAATTTTGTCTTCGACTAGAAGGTCTATTCAGACTGATGGAAGGTGATTCCATGCGAAACGACGACGAAGTTCTGAGCAACATCGATGCTCTTCACGCAAATTGCAATGGCTCTGATGTCCAGCTGCTCAACGCCTGTGAAGACAAGGCGCAGAGTTGCTTACCTAGAAAAGCGCAGCGAGGCCGGCCTGCAGCGGAACAAGCGGGCGCGGAGGAAGGAGGAGGCGCTGAGCACGGAAGCAGAGGTGCCCGCACGGCCGATGCTTTGTCCAAGGCTGGGTGGACTTTGCAAAACAAATTGATCGAGGACAAGATATTTAACCTTGTTGTGGAGTGGTGCGACAGTGCGCAGACTCGTGCTGCTGGTGTTAGCTATTTGGACTGCGCCCTACATTACGACCGCGGAGACGGCAGCCACGTGACTTGGGTCGAAGGGCTGCCAAGCGACAATATTTATCTGCACATTCCGCATGCTCTGCGGCCAAGTCTCCCCGATCCAGTATTGCAGGAAGCTTCCGAGAGGCTGGATCGCTTCTACATGGAAACATTCTGGCTCAACAATGAAGTTGCTGGTCTATCTGAGGGAGCACTGAAGCATAACAACAGCCTAGTCTGAGGTGTTTGTGTTCATAAGACATCATGGCTGCGCTACCGTTGTGTTTCCCCTGCAATCTAAGGTTTTCCAATGCTGCCAGGCGGCGATCAGTCTTGCAAAGCGTGGTGACAACATAGTTCGCTGCTTCATCGGCGTTAGTCCTGGAGGTGCCTTGAGCCAAAATATTATAGTGCTTCTGTTGTTGCTTTGATTAATAACAAGTTTCGCTGCAAGTCCTACTACTGCGCTTGTCTTAGGAGTTGGCCAGTCGCTTTACAGCGCTCACCTCGACGCAGTTTACTCGCCCAGCCATAAATTCATTGATCCCAACATCTGGTATGATGAGACAGAGATGCGCAAGCAAGTGGAGCAGGCGGCGGGCGCCATCATGTTGACTGCGCAGGAAGCACCCGAAACCAATAGGCGCATGAGGGAAGATTTATACAAGAAAACTATGTCCGCGGACGGAATTGCCGGCCGCAGGCCATATGGAATGAGCACACGTATGATCGAGCTGGTTGGGTGGAAGCGTTGCGAAGTCAACAGGATTATGAGATTTATGGGAGTCACAGAAGCAAACTTTCCATCTATTCTCAGACGATCACTGGTGTGGAAACCAATGGCTCGCTTCATTAATGAACATGTCATCCGCAACTCCTATCCAGACGCGCACCTAGGGATGATTCTCTGAAAGAATTTTTGAGAAGTGGTCCATGCATTGCAGCAGCTTTGCAGATACAGCATGCGTTCGAAACTTTGTACAGCGCAGCAGAATGCCTTGACTTGATCGAAGCCTATGCCAACAAACCGCTGACGGAGGACCTGATGCGAGAGGCTTGCGGCTTGGCTCCGAAGAAAAGATCAGAAATCATCAACGATGACCTGCTGCAGATTCCAGTGGACACCACAAGCCAAGAGTTGATGAAGGAAAAGTTGGTGCTGCTGAAGAATGTAGCAAACGCGGTCAGGGACTTTTGCCTGTCTAAGGGCAAAGGTGTTTTCACTGCGGGTATGTTTAAATACCTGAAATTGCCACTGGAGCATCCTGCAGACATGTCGAGAGAGGACATGTGGAAAGCTCTATTGTCAGAGGGCTTTCTTCTTCAGGCAGGAGAAGACCATGCCCAGTTGAAGGATGCGGTGTTGCCTGCCATTAAACTGGACAAGAAATTATTTGATGTGTTTCCCGAACTTGAAGTTCTTCCGGCAGACACTGTTCACAACGAGATGCATGATAAACACAGTCTCATGAACTATATATCAAGCTGCCCAGATCGAGAATCCAACGTCTGTACCGTTCTGTCGTACCTTGAGGCCGGCTTAAAGAAGTTGAAGAAGCGAGGTCGCGGGAAAGCGCCGCCTGAGATTTCTGAGAAGATCAAGGAGACTGAGGAGCGCCTTCGCAAGCTTCAAGCCACCGAGAAGACATTCTCAGATCTCGCGCACAACGACTTATCGGACGCGGCGCAGTCTGCTGATGGCGCGTCTCAGAAGAAGATTCGATTGAGTTCCAAAACCAGTCTGGTTCCAGCTACAAGATGCATTTATAATCGGAATTTTCAGGACATGCTGCGCACCCGAGCCTACTTGCAAGGCTTCGGTGCGCAAAGTTGCTCAAGGAAGATGCTACGGTTTCTTTGCCCCGCCACACGCGACTTGGACATTGAGAATTCAGTGTTCACATTGCTACACCAGCTGCTCCTCAAGCTTGGCGCAAAAGAGGAGCTTCCCGAATATATTTGGGAACCTCTTGAGCAGTGTGCAGAAGCAAGGGATGATGTGTGCCTTTCAAAGCTGAAAACTTCAGTGAAGTTGGGCAAGAAGATGCTTCATGAAGTCTTATTCGGTGGTTGTATTCCTACATCGCACAGCAACAACGGATTTCTACTCAATTTCCAAAGGACTGCACGATGTCTGCGATGGCTAGCGTGTTCGCTGCTGCCTCAAGTGTTTGAAAGAGTCAGATCCATGGAAGAAAAACGAAATCCTCAGGCCTCGGCCTTGTTCTATCTCTACGCTGCTGTGGAAGACTGGGTGCTGGAAGCGTGGGAAGACTATATGAGCACCATTACCCACAACCACTTGTCCCTGCACTTTGATGGCCTGCGCGTTGGCGGCCTTGAAGAAGCTCAGAGCATCGAGGACCTTTGCAAAAAATCCGAGGCTGCGATTCTTGACACAACAGGCTTCAAAGTCAAGATTCTCGAGAAAAGGCATTTATATTTTAGGGAGCTGTGCAATGGGGTGTCAGATCGAGAAGAAACTGAGGTGGAGCAGCAGTTGCTGCAGCCAGGCAACTGCATTCCCCTTGCAGTCAGCCGACTGCTGCCAACGAAGAAACAGGCCGTGATTTCAGAGCTGTGCAAGAGTTCGCAGCAGAACACCGAGGCTTTGAGAGTTGGATCTCGGTCGTACGCAGACGTGATTGCGTTCGCAAGCCTACACGTCTGTCCGTCTCTAGGCTTAGATGTCCAGGAACCAGGTCTCTATTTGTTGCACTCCGAAGACCAAGGAAGGCCGCACTGCGTGTCATGCAAAGTACAAGACGACGGGAATGTGGAACTCAGTGATGGAAAATTCGTTATGAAAATGAAGCGGGAGGAGCTGCGCAAGTTTGCAGATGATGCCATTGACGGTGCCAGCTTGGTCACGTTCAAGCTCTTCGACAAGAAGCGCAAGGTCGCGGAAAGGGAAGTTGCCAACAATGATTCATCCATATTACTGCAGCTACATGCAGGTGCTAATGTCGTCGATGGTGATTGGGCTGAGGGAATGGCCGACCATTGCGAATACGCCGGACCGGACGATGACTCTGCCGATGAGTGTCATGCTGCTGGTCCGTATGAGGAAGATGAAGATGAGGAGCCGATGGTCACTGTCGGAGACATTCTCTTGGCCAGCATGAAAAATGAAGTCGCAAGCGTTATGCAAAGAAATCGAGAAAGGCGGTGCCCTTTATGTCCTTTTCGCGTCTTCAATCGCCCTGCTCGACTCAGTGATCACATTCGTGTTTACCACGCCGAGCGACGGCAATGTGTTTGCAGTGGCACAAAACAATTAAAGATCGTGTGTGCACTTTTCGACAGCGATCAAATTGCTTCGCGGACGAGTTCCTGTTACATAGCCAGAAGTGCTGAAATTCTCCGGGAAACGGTGTCACCGCCGCTGACTGATAACACCAACGCCATTGATCGGTCTATTCGGCTGGTGTTCTCTGGCGCTGGACCACAATTCTGGAACAAAGCAACGGTGGACGGCTCAAGTACCTTGCGCAGAGTAAGGAACATCTATTACACGGTCGACTTCGCAGACGTTGTCTATCGGGAATTACTCTTGTGCAACGCTAAATGCAAAGCTGCTATTCCGCGAATATTGGTATCGATGATGGCAGCAGGCTGTGAGCTGGCTTCACTAATGCCTCGTCACGTCAAAGATTGGTGGCCCGTCATCGAAGACATATTCTCGTCTCTGCCTTGAGGACACTGCAGAACGATGCCATGACATTTTTCTTGCAGAAGAGAGAATTTCAGTACCTGTCCATAGATGGCACGATGAAATGTACTCTGCCAGTGCTCGGCCAGGCGCCTTGGCGAGCTGCAAAGGCAGTAAGAGATGAGGCTCCCTTCGATGACGAGAGCGCTCTGAGAAAGGTCCTGACTGTTCGCGGGTGCAGCAGTGCTGTTCTGGCTATGATTCCGGTTTCATCTGAGAAAGCCGAAGTTGTTTGCGCTGCGCTGTCCGACAGACTTCCACTGCAAGGCTTGAATCAGACTCAATGCGTCGCGTCAGATAGTGCCTCTCTCAAACTGTATACACTCCTGCGACGAATCATGCCGAATTTGAAATGCCTTTGTCTGGATCCCATTCATCTTCCAATAGTATATGAGTCACTGGGTCGCAGTGAAACAGTGTGATTTTGTGTTAGCAACTAACAGCTCGCAGCTCTTCGCTGGGTGTAAGTCAGAAGAGCATGTGATCCATGCATAAGGTACGCCGCCTGGCGCAAGAAAACTGCCGGTGCTGTGTTTCTGCGTAAGATCGTGAGCAAGTTCAACGCATACGACAACAATGTCACCGCTGGTCATTGGGGCGTGTTCTACACAGGTCATTCTGCAGATC